CACCCATGTTAAAAAGTGACAACTACTGAGCTGGGCGTGGTGGTGCCTGCCTGTACGCTTAGTACTCAGGAGGCTAAAGCAGAAGGATTGCCATGAGTTCGTGGCCACGCTGGGCTGCATAATGAGTTCAAGACCAGCCTGGACTATACAGCAGGACCCTATCTCAAAAAAAGCAACAACCACCAAGTTGGGCATGGTGGCCCATACCTGTCATCCCAGCACTTGGGAGGCTGAGGCAGGAGGATCACAGCAAGGTCAAGGCCAGCCTGGGCACCAGAGTGATTTCAAGTCCATCGGTGTCAAAAATAAAAATAAATAAAACAAATAAACTAACAACCACCAAATTTTTTTTTTTTTCCAAATCTTTTCATGAGTCTTATTTCTTTTTTCTGTGACAGCCAGCAAGCGAGGCAAGCACTTGCCCCTGAGCTGTGACCTGGGTGCTTTTGACGTGGGTTTCAGGCAAGATGTGCTCAGTCCTCAGTCCCTGTGTATGCTCTGGGGAACCCCTCCCACATCAGTCTTCCCTTTCTTTCTCTATCAAGCTTAGGTTTGATGTCAACCAGGTAAAAATGCTCGTTGATGCACTGATGGAAAGTTGTGTCTGCGTAAGTGGATTTCCCACAGCCTGTTTGCATGGTGAGTTTTTTGTGGGGTTTTTTTTGTTGTTGTTGCTGTTTGGCGAAACCAAGGATTGAACTCAGGCCCTTGCACTTGCCAGGAAAGCTCTTATTCTACTGAGCCATCTCCCCGGCCCCGAGTTTTTTGTTCGTTCATTTGTTTGTTTTTTGTTTGGTATGGGGGATGGAATCCTGCAGGGCCTTTTCACTGAGCTACAGCCCCAGTTCTTATTTATTTATTTATTTTATTGTGGCAGAACCGGGGATTGAACTCAGGCCCCTGTGCTTGCCAGGGAAGCGCTTACTCCACTGAGCCATCTCCCCAGCCCCTATTTTTTATTTTGAGACAGAATCGCACTAAGTTGTTAAGCTGCCGAGGCTGGGCTTGAACTTGTGATCTTCCTGCCTCAGCCTCCCAGAGGGCTGACATTCAAGCAGCTGCCACCACACCCAGCATGCCAAGCCTCTTCTTCCTCGCTATGGAAGGCAAAGTCTCCTGTCCAAAAGAATTCCTGGACTAAACAAAGAGGTGGGAATCTGCTGAGTGCCTGGAACCAGCCAGGCCGCTGCCTAGGTGGCCCAGGTGGTACAAGAGAAAGAGAGCAAGGGCTGCTCCTGCTGGCGCCTGGGGGTGAATACAGCCCGTCTGTGCCCTGGCTGGCTAAAGCCACCATGGAGCAGGCACATGCACTCCTGCCGGCCCCTCCTCCAAGCTTTGCTAGTGCGTACCTTATTTCCATGCATGCTCAGGGTCACTCGTGCTGCCACTAAACCATGTCCCGTTCTGTCCTCTGCAGCACAGTGGCCTGGGCTCTGTGGCTCCCAGGTGGTTTACATGACTGTGACTGAAACTCGCTCTCCTCAGATGCTGCCAGAACCCTGATTTACGGAGATTCCTCAGGAGCCCCGCAGACCCAGCACAGAGCCCCATCCAAGGGCCTAGTGGCCCACACGTGCTGGGAGCTGACATCCGGACACTTGCTGGGAGGCCCGGGCCTGTGTAGGCGCTGTCACCCCAAGCACTCTGAGTGTCTCCACGGTGCCCTAGGACTTGGGTCTCTCCTGCTGCATTTCATCTCAACGTTTTGATTTTTTTGTTTTTTTTGTTTTTTTTTTTTCAGAACTAGGGATTGAACTCAGGCCCTTGCGCTTGCCAGGCCCATCTCCCTGGCCCCTTCGCCTCAACTTCTAGCAGGAAGGGAGTCTTCATTTTCTGTCATTCCCTGTCCTTCAGCCTCTTCTGCCCATTCCCTCACCTAAACCTAGAGAGACGTCCTTTCCAGCCCAGGGGACTCCGCTGAGGAAGGGAAGTGGAGTTTGTCACGGCCTGCCTGCGTGGCTGCCTGGCCCACTGCCTGGTCTCTCATCCCTGCAGCCCAGGGAGGTACCGGTGTCCAGCTGCAGCCAACCCTCTGTGACATTTAGAGCGCTTTCTTGGGACCTTGCCCACACCTGTCACACCTTAGCAAACACTTCTTCCTTGAGGGACCCAAACACACCACTATCCGCTGGCAGGGGCCTGTGGTCGGTCGGACCCTGTGGAATGCCATCCAGGGCCTTGCATGAGGCTGAGCATGTGTCTCACCCCATGGCGCAGGCCACCCCAGAGCTCCCTCAACTGCCCTGTCTGACCCTGGGCCTTTCCTCAGGGTCCCAGGCATCACCAGTGTGCACCCCTGAGTTTCTGCTCCTGTTGCTTCTGCAGCCAGCCAGGCCTTTCAGCAACAATTCCACCCGGGGACACCCTGTCCACTCTTCCGGGCACAGCCTGGCCTCCATGCCCTGCCCTGGCACACACTGGCCTCAGGAGCACGTGGCATTCAACTACACTGTTTCACTCCCCATCCCAGCTGTGTGAGGCAATAATTAACCCAATTTTATAGAGAATCCTAGACTTAGATCATGTCAGCAGCAAAGTGGAGGCTGGATGAGCAAAAGAAGCCAGGTGGGCAGCCTCTTTGCGGTTGGGTGGCAAGAGGGCTGGAGGGGGGTGGGAGGGAAGAAGGGAGGAGGAAGGAAGTATTGCATTCTCTTTAAAGTTTTGGGTGTGAGGGGCCCCGAGCAGGTGGCAGGCTGCAAGATCCAGGCAGTAAGTAGCAGTGACTTGGAGCCAGGGCACACGCCTCCGTGGCACCGGAAGGAAGAGGTGGGGTGAGGGTGGGTGGAGGAGAGGCAGCAGGGTGTGAGAAGCCACCACAGGCTGCTGGTGCCCCGCCCACAGCCAGGCCCCCAACTCCTCGGGAGCCCTTGCCAACTGGCCAGTTGTGTTGCCAGCAGGCAGGGTGCCAAGAGTAGCTCCGGCGTGGGCATGAGTCCTGATTCCTGACAGGGCCGAGTGAGCAGGTTACCTGATTTCAACCAAGGAAGAGAAAAGGGAAGTGGGTTGGGCCTTCTGGGAAAGAGTCCCCAGCCCTGTGCAGACACCCCAAGAAGCCACACCCCTGAAGGATGTCAGGGCTGCATCTCCAGTGGAAGGTGGAAGTTGCCAGAGAGGACAGGGGTGCAAAGCTTGGCAAGAAACGGCTGCCAAATGGGCACGCTGCGCTTGGAGCACATAGTGCACAGAGGAACTGGTCCTACCACGTGAGACATGCATGATGCCTCTCTGACCACGGCCAGGAGAGGAAAAACTACTCAGCTTAAAGATGTCTAAACTAGGTGTAGCAGCACACACATCATCCTAGCACTTGGGAGGCTGAGGCAGGAGGAGCACCACGAGTTTGGGGTCAGCTTAAACTATATAGTGTAGGGCTAGGGAGACAGCTGGGTGGTCTAAACACCTGCCTGGCAAGCGCAAGGACCAGGGTTCAACCCGCAGTACTGCATGCTGTACCAGCTTGAGCTGCACAGCAAGACCCTGTACCAAATAAGTAAACAAAAGATTAAACTATATAGGGAGACCCTGTCTCAAAAACCAATAAATAAATAAAGGATGCCTACTTAGGTTTGGGTGTGGGGATGGATGGAAGAGTGAGGAGGACAGGGCATGACAGAGAATGACAAATCTCTGTCAGAAGCTGAGATACATCGCAGGCAAGGGAGATACCTGTAGGGAAAGTTTGTAGAACGAACCACCCAAACAGTCACCCCAAAGATCCAGGGCCTTTGATGAGAATGAGAAGCTGCCCAACCGAAGAGCAGAGGGCAGGAAGAGGCCTTGTGCTGAGGCTAGCTCTCTCGTGTAGCACGGTTAGGCCCGAAGAGCTCCTGCTGGGCCTGGCACGGGCTCTGCTGTCAGCTAGTGTCACGCTGCCCAACTGGTGGCTGCCAGACACACGCTCCTAGCCATCTGAAGGGACCCGTGCTCTGAAGGCAAAGCACACAACACATTTCATCAACTTAGCAAAAGAAGACAAGACTTGCTAGGAATTTTTATATTGTTTACATGTTGAAACAATAGCCTTTTGCCTGTAATTCTAGCATTCTGGAGGCTGAGGCAGGAAGATCACTGTGAGTTGGAAGCCAGCTTGGGCTACAAAGTGAGTTTGCGGCCAGCCTAAACTGCATAGTGAGACCCAGTCTCAAAAAAGACCAAAAAAAAAGGAATGACAGGGTTTTTGGGTCATATTAGGTTAAATGAAAAATAATATTCAAGTGAATCCTCTTGTTGTTTCTTCTTGCCTTTTTAATATGGGAAGCTGGAAGTGACACATAGCTTGCAGGGACGTGCCCCGCTAGGCTGAAGGCCCCTCAGTGAGCTCTGCTGGCGATGAAGCTCACGGCATACGCAGACCGTCCAGCGGGTCCACTCTGCTCAGAGTCTCGAGTGAGACAAGCAGAGGGAGAATCAGTGGGCAGGAGCAGCCCACAGCCCAGAGTCATCGGGCGGTGAAGGAGGAGAGGCACAGATGACACAACAGGAGACAGCCAGAGTTCCTTTTCTGTTGTTTTTGTTTTGTTTTGTTGGGTTTGGTTTTTTTTGTTTTGATACTGGGAATCAAACTCAGGACCTCGGGCTTGCCAGGCAGGCACTGTGTTGCTGAGCTATACCCACAGCCCCGTTGATATTTCTTTGAGATGTGATTTTGTGATGAGGTTCAGGCCTTGAACTCATTACATAGCCAGGCTGGCCTTGAACTTGCTGCGATCCTCCTGTCTCAGCCTCCCGAACTCTGGCATGACAGACATGCACCACCAAGCCCAGCTAGTTGAAGTTCTTGCCTCATCAGAAACACCCAAAGAATGTTTTTTGATACAACTGAAGGAAGCAAGAAGAGATGCCACCAAAACCAGGAAGAAGAAGAAAAAAGAAAAGAGAAAAAAAATTACTGATGTTTTTGCACAATCAAAGCCCAAAACAGGGACGGCTAAAGACCTACAGAAGCTGCTGAAGGGCTAGCAGAGCAGCACTCACCCGGAGCCTGAGTTAGAAGAACTGAATCTCCCAGAGTTTTTTTTCCTCCAGGCCAATGATTTGACTTATTTTATTTTTTATTTTTTTGTTATTCCTGAAAGAAATTAGTTCTAAGTAGGTAAAACTTCAGAAACACTGTGGAGAGAAGTCGGTCCTGATGCTGTGCGTCTGTGGCTCTGGATCCAGGCTCTAGGGCGCCTTGGGTGGAAGCAGCACCCAGAGGAGGCCACAAGGCTAGGAGACTGAGAGCACGCGCTGGGGAGGCCCCAGAGCAGTCCAAGTCACCTGTGCAGCGCAGTCTGCCCTTGAGCTCACTGTGTAGCCCAGGCTGGCCTTGAACTCACTGCAATCCTGTCTCGGCCTCCCAAATGCTGGGTTCAAGGCAGTTTCTGGTTTTTTACTAGAACTGGAGAGATCAGAAGTTAAAAGAATGGTGACCATTCCTGAGATAAGAAAGGGGGTTTTCGAACCTGGAGAACTGAGTGCACCCAGCCTATGCAAGTCACAGTCCCTGAAGCGGGCTTTCCCAAATCTAGATCCTAGGGAAGAGTCCAATTTTCACAGTGGAATTTGCATCCCATTTAACAATGCAGGCATAGCAAAAGATCTCAGCAAATCAGCTATTATTGTGTATGCGAACTGCATCACCAGATGGGAATGTTTGATGGTAGTCTTTTTTGTTTGTTTACGGAACCGGGGAATTGAACTCAGGCCCTTGCGCTTGCCAGGGAAGTGCTTATTCTACTGAGCCATCTCCCTGGCCCAAGGTGGTAGTCTTTGCAAGAAACGAATCTGTCTGTTTCCCTGTTCCCTTGTATGATAAAGAACCAACAGTGTACATGCGCACGCACGCACAGAATGGCGTGACAGAAGCAAGCGGACCCTATTTCCTTGTCCAATGATCCCAAGATCAGCTGCAGTGCGGTTCAGAGAAAGGAAGGGCCTCCTCCACACTACATCGAGGCTCCCCCAGCTGGGCGCCATAGCAACGGGCCAGAGAGGTCCCAGGCGCTGACGGAACAGGACTTGACACCTTATGTGATGGGTTCGAGGATGGCTAGGAGAAGAAGCAAAGGTGAGGGTGTGGGACGGAGAGATTAGGAGAAGACTGAGGGCCGAGGCACTCAGGCCTCTGTCGTGGAAGAGAAGCTGTGTCTGGCACTCCCTCCATGCTGCCTTACTGATGTTCTGGCCCAGACAGATAGAAAACAGACACCTTAGACATTCCCGGCATCTCATAGGGTTTGGCTATTGATTGTGTCTATACTCGAAAAGGCCCCACTTACTACTACTATTATTATCATCATTATTATTATTATGACCATTCCCACCAAGCCACTCACTTCTGTACACTTACTGATTTGTCCCGGGAGATCTTCTTGAAGATGACATGGGACTTACTGGACTTCATGCTGGCCGCCATGCTGTCTGTCCCCAGCAAGGTCTTCCACCTCGGGATGTACGGTGGGGCTCACAGGGCCAGGAAGAGGTGAACAGTCCTGAACATAAAGTCAAGAACATCCCGGGTATAAAAGCCGCTCGTGTCATGCGGCACACGCATTGGACCTTCCCTTCAGGCGTGGTGAGAAAGTAAGGCCTTGAGCTCACGTGCTTCTCACTGTGCCGTGCAATGTTTACGTGTTTTCGTTTTCTCCTTAGGTGTCACCATCTCTTAGGAAAGCTCACCAGGTGGAAACCAAATGCTCTCATGACCAGGCTTTATGGCAAATAAATCAGAAAAAGTTCCTGCAGCCCACAGGGTAACCGTGTTGCCGTTTTCTGGCACCATCAGAAGCTCCCAACCCCTATCACGCAGGTCCTACAAAGCAGCGCGTCCTTTTCCAACTTCTGTTCCCTCTACTTAGTTTTGTGGACAATTAAAGACATCTTAGTGATCTCAAATTCAAAGCTCTCGAAAACACACAGACAGGTCAAACCGAGAGTCTGGCCACGACTCTGCCCGTCCTCCCTTCCCCCATTCATGCCCTGGCCTCCGGAAAAGGTTTAGAATACGGTGGTCACATACCCTGTAAATTGTCACCAACCAGACAGGATGCCAGGAGAGGCCGGGGAGGGTCCCTACGCTCCCAATCCAGGAGCAGCTGGCCCTGTTCTGGGCCAGTGGGTGCTGTCACTGATGACCCCACGGAGGCACGAGTGAAGGCCTTGGCGGATGGCCCCCTATGGGGAACTCGTAGGAGATCCGCAGAGGATGTGTCCAGGTCGGTGTCTAGAAGCTAAAGCCCATTTATAGAGTGGTGCGGAAATTGGATTAGCGTGGGGAGTGTGGACTGGTAGTTTCAGCAGTTCTACGCATTAGGCAGGGACCCTGCAGATGCCCGGCTGGCTCCCTTTGGAAGGTGCGTGGGGAGGAGCCACGAAGAATGAAAGCTACTTGCAGCCTAAGCTCCTTTGGGTTCTGGAAATAGACTGCTTATCCCTTTGCTCCTCAGCACTGTCCAGATGGGATTTCCAAGTGCAGGGACAAACTTGATTAAACTCAGCAGGCATTATGTAAACACAAAGGTCAAGGAGACATGGTGACCTCAGATGAACCCAGGGTTACACAGGCCAAGCCAGGCCGCCCTTCTCCTCCACCCTGTGTCCCGTTGGTTAGGTCAGAGGGCCCTATTGTTCCCCCACAGCATCTCTGCCTGTCTTCCCAGCTACAGGGACACCCACAAGTCCACCCTGCCACTTGGGCTTCTCTGGTCCCTAAGGACTCTCCCCAGCTGGTGGCACCCCGCCCCCATCCAGATCCTTCCCCATGTGCAGTAGGGAGACCTTGAAGCCGCTGCCTGTGCCCCCTGGAGTAGGACCTCAGCATACAGGTGGCCCTCTTGGAGCACGTGTGGGCTCTTCAGCTGTACTCATTTTTGCTCCTTTCCCTTCCTGTCTTTGCTCCTCCTCTCTCCTCCCCATTTCACACTTTTCTCTGCTCTTTGCAGTTCCCTTTTTCTGAGAAAGAATCTTGCTGCTTAGGGTGCGTGATCTTCCTGCCTCAGCCTCCCACTTCCTGCAACCACCGGTGTGCACCACTGTGAGCTTCGGAGGCGCCGACAAAGCAGCGCTGTAGGACTGCAGAGGCCTCCTCTCCTTTGGCAGCCAACTCCTATGGATGGCCAAGAGCTGTCTTCCTGGAATGCCCTGACCCTCTTCGCCAGGCTGTCACACTCTGGGCCACAATTGCCCTGACCTGACCACAGCAGGGCTCGCATCTGACACGGAGTCTACCTGCACTCCTGAGCCATGGAGCCCCCCACCTAGCTGGCCCCAGCCTGCTTGCCGTGCCTTGTCTGTTCCTTGCCACAGAAATACTCTTGCCACATTCATCCCTAGCCCCCACGAGCCCTAGACCTTCCCCGTGTGGCTGTGTGGTATGGCATGTCCTTCCTCTAAGGATGACACACTGTCTTTGTAATGGCAATCCTCTATTGATCTGTTGGCCTCACCTGAATAACGAGACATTTTAAAACAACCAGGACTGGGCCGGGGAGATAGCTCAGTGGCACATGTGCTTGCTGGCAAGCATGCAGGGCCTGAGTTCGATTCCTGGTACAACAAAATGAACAGCAGGATTATTCACTGGTGTTAAAACCATCAGAGAGCGAGGTGAAGAGGTGATGGGGGATGGCTATCCCAGGAGGGCCAGATCAGCGGATCACAGCCCCAGCAGGAGTGCACTGCAGACCCTCACAACAACCCGGGCAGCCTTCACAGCATCAGTGGTAGTGGTCCCCTGGGAGGCGTTGGCTGAGGATGTAGCTCGTGGTGGAACACTTGCCCCCACGCTCCTGGGATGTGCCCCCAGGACCAAGTGGCACCCACGGAACCGTTAGCCATCACTCCTGCTTACAGAGAGACAGAGAATAGAGGAACAAGACGTATAACATCACACAGCTGCCAGGCAATCCATAAAGTTGCTGCTTCTTGCTGTTGTTCTGTTTTTATTTTGTCTCTTTTTGAGACTGGGTTTCCCTATGCAGTTCAGGCTGGCCTTGAGCTCACTTTGGCCCAGGTTGGTCATGAGCTCACAATGATCCTCCTGCCTCAGTCTCCTGAGTTCAGGGATTAGAGGTGTGTGACACCACACCCAGTCTGTCGCTGCTGTCTTGTGCTAATCAATGGCATCAGAGAGGATGCCCTAGATTAAAAGACACTTAGGGGATTCAACATTCAGATGTAACGTGCAGGCTAAGCTGGATACTCAGTGGGACAAAAGGTGCCCAGGGTACTGGAGAAGTCTGCACACCGCAAGGTGAAAATTACTGGAACAGGAAGGCAGGTGGCACCACTGAACACACGTACAAGTGCTTGAATGCGTCTGTGCCCAGGCCCAAGCCCAAGGGTATGCGGTGTGGTCTTGGTGGTAAAGGCACTAGGTTTTCACAGTGTAAACTATTTTGTCTGTAATTTTCACACTTTCCAAGAATCACTACTACTCCTGTAAATAAAACATTAAAAGAGAAGTTTGGGGAGCTGGTAAGATAGCTCAGGGGACTAAGCACCTGCTTAGGCAAGTGCAGGGACCGGGGTTCAATTCCCGGCACGACATTCTGTCTCCCCCTCTTCCCCCCTAGACCGTGTGCCTGTAATCCCTGTGCTAGCTAAAAAAAAAAAAAGAGGATCACTAGGAGTCCGAGCTGCATAGTGTGACCCTGTAATAAATACATAATAAAATGTACCAATAAAA